TCAGGGGGGGTATACACCCCCATGGGGGGGGGTAGGGAAATCCCCGCTGAAGTCCTTTAACCCTTTCCTGTCCCCCCCGCTAGCTGAGTCCTGCGTTTAAGGCAATTCTGGAGATTTACGCCGAAGTAAGGATGAGAATCGAAGGTTAGTACCACCCGAAGCAATCCCAGAAACGGAAAGAAGAAAGGCACAGTTCCAAGCCGAAATATCGGACGTACACCTTTCTATTGCAGACATCGGATTTTGAGCGACCCCGCTGAAAGCACGCCATCCCTCCAACACATCCAGCGTTCCTCCGGACCGAAGAGCGCCTGCTAAGATAATTGCTGAACTGTGCATCCGGCGCAGAAACATCTCAGCCGGGCCGTGACGTGCAATATACATTTACAAAATATAAGCCTGGGCGTAGCTCCTAGCTTTGTAGATTTCAGGAGCAGATAGGCCCACCGGGGGGGAGAGGGAGGAGACACTTTTCATGTCCTGCCTGCTTCACACAAGGCCAAAAAAAAGGAACTTGTAATTCCCGTGTTAAGCCCAAGAATTTGTGGCTGTCCCAGGAAGACAATGAGTTCTGATGGAAATGTTTTCAGTGATGGAGAATGCACCATGTGCCTTGGCAGGTACTTTTACTTATCACTGCCCCTCACTGTTGTGTGTCATGGGCCCAGGATGAATTTGTCTAGCTCCACTTCCAGCTACTGGAGTTCATTGTGTCTTTATCTAGAAGACTTACCCGGGTCCAAGACAGGCTGGCTTCTCCTGGGCCAGGGTAGCAGGGTCCATACTGCTGATCAGGGACCGCTGATAGGGGCACTTGCTGCCATGTGTGAGCATAACCCCTCCCTTTCCATTTGCTATGAAACAGTCCCATTCCAGGAACATCCCATTGTCCTGGCACAACCCAACCCGACCTCGCTTTGAGTGATGGTAAAGAGGAAGCTGCCTACCAAATCAGGTGATCCTCGTGTAACCCTCACACCTGCTGGGTGCGGTGCGCTATCCCACTTATGGCACTGGGACCAAGTCAAGAGAGACTAATGAGGCTGCTCTACAGCATTACCTGAGAGCCAGCTGGCTTTTAGCTTGTGTGGTAGAGACTCGTGCACTAAGCTCCAGAGGTCCTAGGCTCAATTCCACGTGTCAGCGTTATGCCAGCTCGTACCCGTTAGGAGGATTCTTGAACAAATGGACTCACAGGCAGATGCAAGTTTCTAAAATACATAGGAAGATTAATGAGCCCGTCCTCAGAGATCTCCCTGTGTAAGGGGTGACAGACCATGATCTCATCAGTGCCTCATCTTTGTTTTGACAAGATAAATAGACTGAGTGTCATAAGCCTCTCACTATAAGCCTCCTCTCCGGTACCTAATATTCTTGCAGCTTTTCCTGAACCCTTCTTCAAATATGCAGAGCCCTGCGCAGATACAAAATGGCTGTGTCTAGACTGGCCAGTTATTTTGGAAAATCAGCCGCTTTTCCGGAAAAACTTGCCAGCTGTCTACAGTGGCCGCTTGAATTTCCGCAAAAGCACTGACTTCCTACTGTCTGAAATCAGTGCTTCTTTCGGAAATACTATTCTGCTCCCGTTCAGGCAAAAGTCCCTTTTGCACAAAAGGGCCAGTGTAGACAGCTCAGATTTGTTTTCTGCAAAAAAGCCCTAATTGAGAAAATGGTGATCGGGGCTTTTTTGCGGAAAAGCGCATCTAGATTGGCACCGATGCTTTTCTACAAAAAGTGCTTTTGCGGAAAAGTGTCCATGCCAATCTAGACGCTCTTTTCCGAAAATGCTTTTAACGGAAAACTTTTCTGTTAAAAGCATTTCCGGAAAAACATGCCAATCTAGACGCAGCCGATTTGTATCTGTATCCACAAAAATGAGCTGTGGGTATCCGCAGCTGTGGATGCGGTCACCCGCGGATATAAAGTGGGTATCCACAAATTTGTCAGGCTCTAGAAACATGGGTACCAGAACTGGACACCATATTCCAGCTGTGGTCTGTGTGCGTATGTCCTATGTAATATGAAAGCCAAGAATCGAATTAGTCCTTTCGGCCACAGCATCACCTTGGGAGCTCTTTTGCTTTGGCTGCTCTCCACTATGACTCCCTCTTCTAGCAGCTGATGTGGAGGTATGAACACCAAGAGAGGAGAAACTGCTTTTGTAGTTGGCCAGCCATTCACAGTCTTTGTTTAATCCTAAACTAATGGTGTCAAATTTGCAGATGAACTATGTAGCTCAGCAGTTTCTCTCTGAAGTCTGGTCTTGAAGTTTTTTGCTGCAGGATGGCTACCTTTAGTTCTGCTACTGTGTGTCCAGGGAGATTGAAGTGTTCTCCTACAGGTTTTTGTATACTGCCATTCCTAATATCAGATTTGTGTCCATTTATTCTTTTATGTAGGGACTGTCCAGTTTGGCCAATGTATATGGCAGAGGGGCATTGCTGGCACACGATGGCGTATATTACATTGGTAGCTGTGCAGGTGAATGAACCAGTGATGGTGTGTCTGATCTGGTTAGGTCCTGTGATGGTGTCGCTGGTGTAGATATGAGGGTAAAGTTGGCACTGAGGTTTGTTGCAGGGATTGGTTCCTGAGTTAGAGTTACTGTGGTGCAGTGTATAGTTGCTGGTGAGAATTTGCTTCAGGTTGGCGGGTTGTCTGTGGGCGAGGACTGGCCTGCCTCCCAAGGCCTGTGAAAGTGGGCGATCATTGTCCTGGATGGGTTGTCGATCACTGATGATGCGTTGGAGAGGTTTTAGCTGAAGTCTGTAGGTGATGGCCAGTGGTGTTCTCTTGGTTTCTTTCTTGGGCTTGTCTTGTAGTAGGAGGCTTCTGGGTACATGTCTGGCTCTTTTAGTCTGTTTCCTCACTTGGATATCGTAGTTTCAAGAATGCTCGGTGAAGATCTTGTAGGTGTTGGTCTCTGTATGAGGGGTTGGAGCAGATGCGGTTGTAACTTAATGCTTGGCTGTAGACAATGGATCGTGTGGTGTGTCCGGGATGGAAGCTGGAGGCATGAAGGTAGGTATAGCGATCAGTAGGTTTCTGGTATAGGGAGGTGTTTATGTGATCATCACTTATTTACACCGTGCTGCCCAGGAAGTGGCTCTCTTGTGTAGACTGGTCCAGGCTGCAGTTGATGGTGGGGTGGAAGCTGTTGAAATCATGGTGGAATTCTTCCAGAGTTTCCAGAAGTGGAGACAAAAACACTTTGGCTACGTCTACACTGGCCCCAAATTCCGGAAAAGTGATGCAAAGCAGGTAAGTCAGAATAGGGAAATCCGCGGGGGATTTAAATATCCCCCGCGGGATTTAAATAAACATGTCCGCCGCTTTTTTCCGGCTTGGGGAAAAGCTGGAAAAAAGCGTCTAGACTGGCACGATCCTCCGGAATAAAGCCCTTTTCCGGAAGATCTCTTATTCCTACTTGTGCAATCTGCAAACTTTATCAGCAATGTTTGTGCACTTCCTTCTAAATTCCCAAGTAAAGTACCAAATAGCATTGGGCTGAGAAGTTGATCCCTGAGGTTCTAAAAGGACATGGACTCCATGCATCGAACAAAGTGGTTTTTACCCATGAAAGCTTATGCCCACACATATCATCGTCTGTAAGGTGCCACCGGTCTTGTAGTTGTTTTTGAAACTACAGACTACCACGGCGACCTGTCTGAGGCTTTGTATTTATGTGAGTGCAACACTTAAAATATTATGCATGAAAGGGGAAATGATTCCTAGTTTGTGAATGAAAACTTAATTTGGGAGGTTCTGTATTTTTAAGTTTCGTGTTCTTCAAGAATTGTGGTCAAAGGGAATCAATCAGCTAACCTCCCTGGGCCCAGACTCATCCAAGCGGGTTGACATAAAAGGAACCAGTGTTTTTCGTGTGGACACGCCAGACTTGCCCCGGGGAGGAAAAAAAGTGAAAACTAAGAGTGGAGCTAGCCAGAAAGCAGTGAAGGCGTTTGCTTCCTAAAGGAAGCTTTTATCAGAGTGAACCACGCCCTGGAGTTCAGCTTGTATTTCCAATGCTGGGGCCCGGGGCCAGATCTGCTCCCGGACCAGGAGTGAACATGAGACCAAATCTGAATTCTCTCCACTCATCTGAGGAAGTGGGTTGTACCAGCTACATGTTTTATTAGTCTTTAAGGTGCTGCTAGACTATTTGTTGTTTTTTAATGTTTGGGTCAGTTAAATTACGGAGATTGGTTTTAGGAAAGCCCTTTAAGAAGGTCTTACAGGTAATTCTGGGGGAACTGGTCTGGAATTCGTCTGAGAAGCAATGTTCCCTCTAATCTTTTCCATCTATGTGCAGAATATTTTTTTCTACATGCACCAAGGCACATGTGAATGTGCACCATCAGTAGAAACAAAGCTGGCTGTGAATAAACAAACAC